ACTACACAGAGAATTCTACTGCCAGTCTGTGAAGATGATTAAGGAGGAGTTAAGTGGCATTCACAGAGAAATGATCAAGCTGATACAGTATGCCTGGAGTTTTAAACAGCATTAGAAATCAAGCTTCCAATACATAAAAGGAGAAGTCCTCTTGTTAACTAGTGTCAAGTTAAGTGAGAAGCAGGTGATAAAACTCAGTGCTCACACTTGGTGAGCTGAGATACCCAAGGCACATACACCGGAACTTAATCAAGATTTGCAGAAAAGGCCAATACCTTTGTATAGGTGATAAAAACTTAATTCTCCTACCATTCAAGACTGCTAAATGATGGATTTTTTTTTTTTTTTTGTATTCATGCAATTTAAATATTCTCTCTGAAGAGACACCTCTACAAGAGAGGGAGAGAGAAAGAATTGCTACAGCTAAATTCTGCAGAATGTCTTAGAAGTATATGAAGTCAGCAATCTTCTGTGGTCAGCCTGGCAAAGGCAGTTCTAGATCAATAGCATCTGCATCATTATTTCATGCCTGCTCCTCATTAGTAAGACACCTCTACAATCACTGAGGGATGGTGGTTTACAGTGAGCAATGATTAGGTCTGTCTGAAGTCAGACAGGAAGCCAAGAACATCAAGTGAGGTTGAATAGTGGCACTGTAATTCCAGCTCTAAATGCAGAGAAACTAATTAGGTATGTCATAATTTTTTCCCCAGGTTTTTTTAAACCTCTAATTGACAGCTGGGAGAGAGTAACAGATGAAACTCTAAGTCCAACACATCATCATGAATAACAGCTTGGGGTTTTTTTTTTTTTTTTTTTTTTNTTTTTTTGTTTTGTTTTGTTTTGTTTTGTTTTGTTTTGTTTTTGTTTGTTTGTTTGTTTGGGGGTTTTTGTTTTTTGGGGTTTTTTTTGTTGGTTTTTTTTTGTTGTTTTTTTTTGCTTTGGAGTTTTTGAAGATAATTTGTTTGGTTGGTTTGCTTTTGTTATTCTTTCACCCTGATCAGAATAAACTGGTGTTCCTTCAAACAAGTTACCCTACCACAGTAAAAAAGTACAAATCTGTTATATTTCTGCTTCATGTCATGGAGAAGATTGGCAATATGAACATATTATGCAGGAAGAACAGCTGCTGCATCCAAAATATTTTAGCACCAGGGAAAATAAAAAGTTACTTATCCCATTCAGAAAACTGAAAAGCTTCAAAGGAATCTGGGAAATTACCAGCTGAATCTGAAACTTATGTGCTCCTTATTCACTTCAGAGCATTTTGGATTTACTTTTTTGTTGCTCACACAAACAGCAATTTAAAAGCTCCTTTTATTTCTGCCTATGCAATATATTCCCTGACTGTGGAACTAACCTTCAAGTAAAACAGTTCCCTTATTACTTAGCTTGAGCAGTGCCTTAAAGAACCAGTTATGAGTAAATCAGAAGACCTGGGGAATGCACAAACCTAAGAGCAGGGCCACACATTTACCATGACTTTCAGCACCAGTATCACAGCTATTCCCAGCAGTGGAAATTACAGTGTTCAGAGGTAATGTTTGTAATGTCCATGAATTCTAAGAAAGATCTTGCTCTTTGAGGGTTCAGTGTTGTCCTCCTCCAAAAGTTAACAAATTATCTTCTTATGTGACTACATTTGGAAGTGTATATATCTGGGTCTGCATGATAGATTACATGTAGATATTTACTATTCTGCATGCAGTATTCCTGACCCTTGGTATACCAGAATTTAACATCAAACTAGTAAGTACAGCAAGGCAATTGTAAAACAAATTTCTCTCTTACATTTTACTTTTCATTTCAAAACAAAAAAATTACTTACATGAGGGATCTTCTAAGATTCTAAGACATTTCTAGTACTTAATCAAGGTTTAATTTAAACAAAATGATGAAGAAAATTTGAAAAGAAATCTGACCCAGTCCTATGGGATAACTGTATCATATTACAGTTTCCTAAAGATACTTTCATAAAAACAATGAAATTTAAATACTGACAGTGCTTTTCAGGAATCAGGGTTATTTTTAATAATCCTTTACAGCCAGTGACTTATGCAATATTACTATTAGGGACTTAAAAACCCAAAAGAAACCAAAAAACAAGTAACAAAAAAAAGAGCAGCACTCAAACAGTTTCTCATCTTAAAATCAAGTTTTCTGATACTTGTAGCTATTTTACAAATTATGTTGATATTTGAATGAAACTCTTTCTGGCTTGAGCTTAGACAGTTACCACAGTGAAAAAGAAAGCATATGACATCTCTACACTTTTATGTAGTTCATATTCATTCTTCTAAGGTAGAAATTGTAGGAAGTTCAACAGAAAGCGTCTCGTGGCTCTATTTGCAAGTGAGCAGCACACAGAGTTATCAAGGGGTAAAGTATTCAATTTGTTCATTTTTAGAATGATTCACATTGGTGACTTTATCTAAATGAACTATTATGCGAGCAGGATGTTCTAGGAACTACTCAGTATGATAGCATATTCTTTAATCGTGATTAGTTAGACTTAAAAATGATTATGGAAACATACAATGTGTTGCAGCTTTGGATCATTACCCATGGAAATGTAATTCAGAAGCACAAACAATAATTATTTCCATCACTTCTTCTACTGAAACATAGCTTTCTTTAATTAGAATACTGGTAAGTGAACACAGCAAATATAAGATTTTTTTAATACTTAATCTGATAAAGAATTAATTGAGCTTTTAATGGAGGAAGTTTAATCCTTCAAGCAGTGTGCATACAGATTGTGCCACCTTTTTAGGTGTTCACCCACTAATGTAATGGAGTAACAGATTGTTAGAGATATATTTTCCACAGTGGCAGCCAGCCTCTGGGGCCCTCAGGCCTTTCCACACCTCTCAGCAGCAGCAGGGAAGAAGAGAACCACATAATATGGGAGAACCTCACCCTACTGCATCCCATACTTTCCATTGGCAGAGGCTGGCTATTGCCACATCTTGGAATTTAGAAGACAAATCGTGAAGTTTCCCCAAATCTGATTGAAACAGAGCAAGCTGAATTGCACTCTCTAAGCCACCAGCACAACTGCTTAGGGGCATCATTCTGTCCTGTCCAGCAGATGTCTAACAGAGAGTGTGAGAACCAGTGGCAAGCACGGACGATGCCCTTCCTGGCCTGCAAGAACTTGGCACCCTCCTTAATAATACCCCTCTACTCTCTGTGTAAGAGCTCATCTTACTTTCCTTACTGAGTTCATCAGTTTTAGAATGGGCACTAGCATCCTGTATCACCAATATTCCACTGCAGAGTTCCACTTAATTATCTGTTGTGCGAAACATTTTACTTCAGATGTTTACTCATTTCATTTGTGCCAGTTTTACTGGAACACGAGTGCTGCTTTCAATCTAGCTGAAGAGGTGGTGGTAAAACTGCCTCTCTGAGGATGAAGAAATGTTTGAGAAGCAATGACTAGGTGTTATTTAGGAGAAACTATGCACACTGATTGAAAGTGAGACTGCACATAAACAGACACAGGGAAATAAACCATCAACATACATAGGAAATCACCATCACTGATGGCAAATGATTAGGGCATTTCTTGGCAGACAAACTGCCACTTGATGTAAAGTCCCATGAGCATTCATCTACCAGCTCGTCTGCCAAGAAATATCCTCTGCTTCTGTCAGAACTGGTTAATTAAAGTGTACCAATAGGCTATGCTAGGAAAGTCCACACCTGTTTCCCAAGCAGACCTCCAGTGAAAAGAGAAGAAACATAAGTAAAACAATATTTAGCAAAGATCCAAAAGCCAGCTCCCAAGCACCTCTCAGTTTTTTTCATTACTGTTAAGTATCTGAGTGCATTTTTCCGCCCCAAAATTACAAGACAATTCAAATAATAAAACCTGTGCATTTTGAGACGTGAATGTCTTTTCCATACCATCTACACTCAGCACAAGTCCAGATGAAATAAGCCTGTATAAGTCTAGTTAAGACATAAAAGTGTCAGAGGAACATGGTCTCCTTATAACTGCTTTGTCAGGTACGTGACTGAATAGCAGGTGCTAAAGCAGCTTTAACATAATGATACATTTTAACAAAAAATAATCAGGCACAGCCATAGAATTTAAGACATTAAAAGTGACAGGTTCAAAACAGAGCTCTACCTAGTATTTGGGAAATTTACTTATGAAACAAATAAACTTTTTTGGGTTTGTGGAGTTTCTACCAGTAATTGTTTTGGATTTAAGGAACAATAAATTCAACTTATGGTTAAAGAGTATTAACTTGTGTAATCCTGCAACAAAATACTACTATAATACAGAGACAGAAACAAGAACTTAAACTAGTAAGGTTAAAGACTTTTCGACTGCCAAGCTAAAACTTGAAAATATCACAAAACATGTCACTTTATATACCAGTGACTCTTTTGGCCTTCTCCAAATATATTACACAAATAACTGCATTTAGACAAAGCTATAAGATGAAACTGCATCTTCATTCTCTCCAGAAACCATGGTAGGTAATAGAGATTAATGGGTTATTAATGCTTTAAACACATTGTATAGGTTTACAGTTGCATTTTCTTTTTTAACATATCTTTTCCACATGAGTTGAAGCCTCAGGTTCAGGTAGGCAAACAGAAAGTAAGAGTGTAAATGAGTTCAAGGGTACACTTGAAACCCATTTGGGAAGCAGGAAGCTGATGCACCAAATCTACCACTGCCATAGAGCAGGAACTCCATAATTATATACTCTAGCATTAAGCCCAGTAAGATGTACTGAGTGTGATTCCCACTCAGGAAAATACCCCAAGTATCATTTAACACTTAAATGAAGTAATAGCTTTAGGACTTATACAAAGCGGCAGAAATAGAAGCAAGAAGACCCATTGGTCTCCACTGCACAAGTAATTTTCAAAATTTTAAACAATGGAGAAATTAAATTATTTAATTTGGATAAATAAAATTATTAAACTTAAATTGAATGACTTATCTAGATGATGATGTGTCAGATAAACCAACTTACTTCTTCTCCTGACAGATAGTAAGCTGAAAGTAGTCCACCGACGAAACGAATGTTCACTTCAAATACGGAAATTTCAGCATTCTGTTGAAATAAACATGAATTTATTTCTATAGATGCTTGTTTGGTTTGTTACACACACACACACATGTATATATATACACACATACATGTTTTAAGGCACAACAGGTATAAATAGCAAAACACAGAAGATGTAGGGAAGGACAACACAAGAATTTAAAATATTTCTTTCTCTTCCTCACTTTGACAAAATATTCTCTCTGTTATCCTCATCCTGCTCAACTTTTCACCTCTTCTGTTGGGTTATAAGGCTTTCTCTAAATCCACATATCTGAGTACTTATCATTCCTTGCAGATGATTTAGCATTTGCCCAAAACATGCTCTGGGATTACATCCCACACTATCTCCCCTCACATCATCTCAGACAGATCAGTATTGATCAAAATGTCCTATCGAGTATTTTCTTACTTCAGTCTAAATGCAGCTTACTGCAAAAAAGAAGGCAACATTAGAATGAGTTAATTACATGCTCATGAAAAAATGTAATCATTATGTGTATACACAAAGAAGATCTTCTGCTATTACAGCGACAACCCTTTCCAAGCTGGCATGGATAAATCTTTTACCAATGATAAAGACTAGGTCCAGCCAGTATCTATCTCAAAACTCAAAGCACATTCTTCCCTGCCTTTGGAAATTCAAGCATAAACGAGGAATCTTAGTTTCACGTTTTTGTTCTTTATTAAGGCAATTCCGATTTCACCCCAACACATAACATTTAATTCAGCTAAAAAAGGTGGTCTAGTGAGGTTTCTTAACTTTTGCTTTTTTATGTAATACTACTTTTTATATTTCTGTATTTCTGCAGAAAAAGGTATCCAACAGTGTCCCAGAATTTTGAGCACATAAAAAAGACGTTTGACTTTCCCATGTTCTAGGTTGTTCTTGCTTCTACTAAGTCACTTTTCCATTTTCTATTTGCCAACATACACTATAGCTATATTTAATATAAACCAATGCATGGTGGAGCTAATGGATTTTCTTCTGAAAGGCTTGCAGGCTTTTTTCATTCATCTAGCTTTTGTGCTTTTCCAGTTTAAACATTCAGATGTCAGTTTAAGTAGGAGGGAAGAAGTTGCTCCCTGTTTTCTATGGATTTTGAATTGTAGTCAAATGGCTTTACAGAAAAACCAACAAACAAACCAGCACTAGGCTACTTAATAAAAACATTACTTCATGCTTTACAGTTTCCAAGGTGCTCTGATTAAGAAAAGGTATCTAGACACATTGCAGAGTTGGTGAGATTTTGTAAATTGTAAAAGTACAGGCTTCAAAACACACTCTCAGACTTGCCACAATGCTAGTGGGTTTACATTCAGGAATTTAACTTTTCTCCTCTAAAATGTATTCTGCACTTCCCCCTTATAGAAGAGGATATAATTCACTCAGAATTACTCTGATTAATATATTATTAATATAGTATATATGTGTGTGCTGTATAATTTTTTTACATGAGTACAATTCAAAGGGACCAACAAAGTAAAGCTATGACATACATCTGTGTCTTGAAAACTCAGACTGGTATCATGGGTTAAGACTGCAAAATTATCTTGCTATCTTGCAATGTTCAGAACATAACACTCTTCCAAATTTATTTTGAGTATTCTAGGAATCTGCAGTTTCTCCTCTGTCACTGCTCTCCTCCACTGGTCCTCTCTTATTCTTTCTAAGAGGAATGACCAAGTTTAATTTCTGCAGCTTAATTTCTGTTTCCAAAATGTCTTTTTTTTTCCCAGAATCTGTTAATTCTCTTTCCAAGTGTTCAGTCATTGCCTCACTGAATGCAGCAATAAGGCAGATGAAAACAGGTATTCATCTCAACTTTAACATTCCTCTGCAGCCTTTTTTATTATGCCATGATCCACATTAAACCAGGGGATATAAAAACATTTAAATCCTCTAGAAATCTGAACTGTCTAGATGATGCATCTGTTCGTCTGCTAAGCAGGCTACCTGTGTAGGAACTACAGCACACGTACATTAAATACAGAAATCTACCTTAAAATCCAACACATAAGACACCCAGTAGAGAACTGATTTGACTAAAGAAAGGCTGATCTGACCTGATCTGATTTAAAAAAGGATGATTAAATGAGTGAAAGAGGCAGCTTCTCTTCCCTGGAGACTGAGCTAGCTGAAGCTCCTATGAATAGTATGAGAATATGAATATGTGAACTTCTTCAGAAGTTCAGGTTCTTTCCATTTCAATCCTGAGCCTTAGCACATGTCAAGTACCTTTCTTTGATGTGGGAAGGTTGAAGCTGTAAAGAGGTAGGTGTCAGATGAGGAAATGAGTTAATCAGATATCCCAGACACTTGTGTTTCCTTTGAGAACTGAATTAAATTACTTTTTGATTTTCAATTGCTTGAAGTAAATTGAGTGGTGTATGACCTGAATATTTTGTCTCCAGAATTTTATATTTTGCCTTTCTGGATTTAAATATGACCACTTAACTCACAAAACCATTGCTATCTTTCAAGGAGTGCAAAGGAAGGCTCAGTATGTGTGCACTAACATCTGCTTCTGGAAATGAGTTACAGACAAGAAGACTATTTGGAAGTAATGAGAATAAAGGTTTTACTGTTGAGCCACAAAGATTAATTGCACTGCAATATTGAACATGTGTTGAAGGGGTAATCTTTTAGGACATTTCTCGAAGGCAACCATTGTTCTAATGTTATCAGATTCCCAATAGGTCACTTGAACCTTCATGTGAAATACTTGCCTCTTACCAAAATCTTTATGCAAGCCACTGAAGCAGACAAACACTGAAACAGTCATTCCATTAATGGTACTTTGAAAGCTTTATTCCTGATGCATAGTTACTCTTAAACTCATTGTACCAGGTTAGTATTGTTCTCAGCACACAAATAACAGTAAATGGCAAAACAATTAAAGTTTCATAATTTCACGTCAAGAAAATATCTCTAAATGGAAAGTTTGTGTAAAGAAGTAATCTGTTAAGAAAAATGAACTTCTCCTAAAAGTAGAAGGTTTCTGCTACACCAACTTGACCCTCCTGGTTTGATTTTTAAATTTTTTGTACGATATGGCACACTGAAGATGCCACACCCTGATCATTACCCTCTTTTCATATATTTAATCATCCACAAACAGTTTGCACAAATAAGTCTGTATATTTCTACTCAGAAATCAAATTCTAAGCAAAACTATTTTTTATTTTGCTCTCAGATCAAGCTGCATATGAATACCTTATGATCCATTTAACAGTACTAAATATATATCAGAAAAACTTTCATCTGAACTTCCCAAAATTTCTACTTCACCATCTATAGAGGTAAGAATTATTTTTTATTTTAAATTTAGCCTTCTTCTTCAAACAGTTATTGCATCACTTACATAGCAAGTCTGAGAAGTGGTTGAATAAATTCCATATGGAATTTTGATGGAAATTCTGTAAGGCAAAGTAACTGGATGTGTATATTTCAAGATGACTACAATGTTCCCTTTTTAAGGTACCAAATATAAAAGACAGCTCTGAACAACTGGATAAATATAATTTCCAATTTTATGGTCTTTACATTAGTGCCCCAAATAGACTGTGCTGTGTATGAGAATATCCGAAATACCTTTGTTAGTACACATCTGTGCTAACATCTAAACATCAGTTTGATCTGATATTTTCAGGCCTACCTTTTAGAAAGGATTCTGAAAGTCTGTAGACACTTGGAAAATGTTATGTGTATTCAGAATAACACGTTTCTGTTTTAAGTCCAGGACTTAACGTTAAGTGCTGAATGTGAGTAATGGGGTTGCTCATCTTATATTTATTCAGTAATTTATCATTCACTATTTGAACTATAAATGGAATAGTCCAAGTACTATACAAGATCCAAAGAAATTGTGACTTCTGATCACTGTACTTGAGAAAAAATAGAAAACAAAAAGCAACGTATGAATCCAATATGCAGTGCAAGAGCAAAGCTGTGACAAATTTCAGGAATTTCATCTAGTTCCCCTGATTAGCTTCTAAAGATGAAATTATTTGGCAAAGACATACAATATCCTTTACATTGCTGGCTAGACACATAACAAAGAAATGTTAAAACTGCTTTTTAAGTAGAAGAAAACCCTTAGCTCAGAAACACTCAAGATGCTGGAGTAAATTACAGATGTAACTAGAAAATCTATTATACTAACTCCTTTTAAAGAAAGGGAGAGTGACAATGCCTTAGCAAGGCCCATCTTCAAAAAGCAACGAATATAACCAAATGGGGAGAGGGTAGACAAAATAAAGTGCCAAAATTTATATTATTTAGCCTGTGTTACTCTGTATTTCCATTTTATTTGCAAATCTATGACAGGGCCAATTTGATCTCAGCTGCATCTCACCACTCAACTTCCCTCATCCTTCCATAAACCAGAGGACTAAGACTACAACTGGTAAACTACTGAGGCTTCAAAGAGCTGCTATATTGAATATTGAAAACATTGTTCAGACAGCAAATTACTGTCAACTGGGCTCTCCTGAACGCCTTTGCCTATTGAACTCCTCCAGCTTCCCAAAAATCAGTATTCATATCCTTCTGGATCATTTCCTTAATGCATCTCATTTCTCATAATCTTCCTCTCCACTATTCACAGACCAAGGGCAAAATTATTTCCATCTGTATTTTCTCATGGGAAGTCACCCTCCCTTACAAAGAGAACATTTGAAACACAACATTATTTTATTTATGCAGTGTTAGGTTCCACCTGGCACTCACCAGCAGCACCGGTTATGTGTTCTGCCATTCAAAATTCAACTGGAGAAAATACTGTGTGCTCTTTGCACAGATTAATGTATTCCCAACAATCAAGTCACCTTAATTTATATTTGATAAAGAACTTACTCCCTTAGTTTTTACAAAGATAACAAAAAATAACGCCACAAATCCTAACATACTATTTGTTTCAGTCTTCTCTATTGCAAAGATTCCTTCCAAAACTTTCTATACTTTGGCTCTCCTGTTCTTGTAGCATCAAGAGTGTATAGAACTT